ATTTTATTTTATAACGTGGATATTTGCGATGTATTTTTTTTAAATAGCTTTTATATAATGGATTTCCGCAAAGTAACGCCTGATTCTATTAATTATAAGAAAAAATTACATTTATCCTCAATTAAGAATCAAAATGCACCCCTAAGTGTAGAGTCTCCGGTGCTCTACACTCAGCATGGCAGCGTTGATCAGATATTTTACGCTGGTATTTTGTAAGAGCGTGGTCTTATCCCGGTCGAGTTGACTTATTCTTGCTACAACCATGATATAGCTGCAGCATATCTCTACCACGTAGAAAAGCCTTCTTATATAGAGCCAGTATTATAACAAAAATAGAAATGGAATATAGACCTCAGAGGTGACAACGCATCTGTAGAATTCTTAGTCCGAAGTTGGTTAAAGGTGTCCGTGGACTGCATTAATCACCTGGGTAAGAGGATGGTTACTATTCAGACGGGCACTAAGGAAGAAAAAGTGTCACAAAGATGGAATGCCTGGTTTTCAGTAAAGATTCTCCTATAATAGCAAAATTATTTCCGTCTCTATATTAATAACGCTTCATCCGTACAGTCATTTACAACGGTGAGAGCGGGACAAAAGCCGTGTGTCGCGTCACGTACCGCATGACGTCCTAAATACCATTCCCGATGCTAGATGAGCTCGTTCACCGTGACGATACCCTCACACGCATTCCTCGCTTTATTGGAATATTTTATATTAAGAAGAAGATTCGCTGTAAGCTTTTTGTAAGAAAAAAGAAAGTCTATATCGTATGTCAACATGTTCAGGTTTGTCCCAACCATTGTATCAGATTTGATAGACTAGAAAGATTCGCGAGGCTATTGAAATAAAAAAGCATCATGATTTCAATGGAGAAGAAGACTGGGTGCTATCATTGGCCTGGGATTCCATAATGAATAAAATTAAATCCAAACCGCATGGGTTACTACTTACTACAGCAAGACTTCAAAATACTGTAAGCTCGTTTTGCGTAGATTGGACCAAAATTAATAATTTAAACTTGAAGGTAGCATTTGTTAACTATGACATTGGGACGTCATGCTGTGGCCCACAGATATCTACATTTATTCTCAACTAAATATCAAAATTGCAGATCATTTTCACCCCTGAGGACTAAGACGAAATGCCTCTTTACTAGGAAAAGGGGTCTCCGGTTAACTTCACTCACCACACGAAACAGCAGTATTAAGCTACTATTTCACGAGAGCGTGGTCCAATCCCGGCCGAGCGGAACCAGTCATGCTACAACCCTTATATGGCTGCAGCATGGCTCTACCACGTGTATACAGTTTGCTATAATCACGGGTTGAGATGGGTGATATGTTTTCTTAAACTGTGACCGCACTGCATTATCTGTGACCACCACTTTTCATTCATCATTTTATTACAGCTTCAATCAGCTTCCACTTGCATTGAACGTATACCTCTTCCAAAGATACTCTTTTAGGGAGATTTTGCCATAGTTGCCACGCTTGTCAGGCGGAAAGCAATGGTAACCCGCTGTCCATGTCCAGTTTCATTTCCCTTTGTGGTCTCTTACAATACCGACGCGATGATATGGGCTAGTGGATATATTTAAACTTTCACGAGACAGCAACGTCATATAGATATTTTGACATACCATATCAACAGTTGGTAAACGTTGCTATGCTGTCAAAATAAGCACACGATCAAGCGATAGGAGATTACGTCATTTTTTATAGGATAGGTTGACAAACGAGCACACAGGCCAACTGATGGTAAGTGGTTGCTGTGACCCATAGACATCTACATCTATCCTCAATAAAGAGTTAAAATGCAGATGCGTTGTCCCCCATGAGGACTAAGATGGAATGCCTCTTTTCAAGTAATAAGAGTCTACGGTTCTCAACACTCACCACACGAAACACAGTAGTATTCAGCTGCTATTTTACGCTGGTATTCTGTGAGAGTGTGGTCCTTCCCCGGTCGAGACGACCAATTCGTGCTATAACTATACTACTAATATAGCTGCAGCATGGCTCTACCACGTTTGACGTTGACAGTAATGTATACCAGACATGCATTACTGCATGCAAAACAAGCAGGGAGATACAAAATGAAACTGATTTTAACTTGGTAGAGCAACGCTGCAGATATATTATAATTGCAGCACGAACGTCGGTTTCGCCGGGAAAGGATCACGCTCTCGCAGAATACTAGCATAAAGCAGCTTAATGCTATTGTGTTTAGTGTGGTGAGTGTAGAGAACCGGAGGTTTCATTTACTGGATTTGAAGAGAGGCATTTCATTTTAGTCTTCAAGGTTGACAATGCATCTGCATTTTGCATTGTAACTAGCATCAATGTAGATGTCTATTGGCCACAGCATCTACTTACCACCAGGTGGACTGTGTGCTCGTTTGTCACCTTTATTCCATTAACAATACTTAAATAATTTGTATATATTACTATTTATTAGGTAAATGAAAAAATTACATATATCAAGACGTACATTTATGATACGAAGTAACTGGTAGGCTATTCTTGGATAGAAGTGTTGCGTATTGTAATTAACACTACTTGTGCTACATATAACTTTATTTTTAATAAAAAAAATCCTTCATTGTTGCTAATATTCCACTAACACCTCCATGTAGGTAATCAATATGCTTGTGTTACGACATTAGTCAAATTGCGGATTCGGACACACTAGATTTAGGTTCGCAGTCTGAACCCTCAACACCGTCAATTCATTGAAGATATAGGGCTTAGCTAATCATGTAGAGGCGGTGTAGGAATATCCAGGTCTCTAGGGGCTGCAGAAGGAACTAACCGTCGGGTATACTGTTATATAAGTTTCTTATTTTTTCAGTTATATAAAAAGTACGAATGCACGTCTGAGCACTGCAATCTTCAGTGTAGCTGATAGACCAAAGTCTGCAGTGGTTGAAAATCAGCTAGGAGCCCCTATTTACGGGCTTGTTAAGAAGGTAAAGGTTAAAGAAGACAAGTATTTCTAAAATTTTTTCAGCAGCCTGCAAAAGTTCAGTCCAGAACTTTTCCAGGATTTGGTGTTGACTCACTCGCTATCAGTTGCACTGAAAGCGAGCAATCCAGGTTCGATACCAGCCAGCACCAATGAAATTGCTAATTGCAATTTTAAATGCTGTTATACCATATGTTTGGTGGTGAATGAGCAATGAGGCAGCAACGTCTTCCTTATAATGACTAAAAATAAAAATAAAACTTCGGTTGCTAACTCGCTTGCCAAGCGTGACAACTATGGCAAATATCCCCTCTATGTGGCATTCTATGGGGGAGTCCTATGTTCAGCAGTGGACTTTAATAGGATGTATCGGTAAATTAAGCAATGAAGCAACACTGCACTCAGACAATTTCGTGTCTTAAAATACTCTTAAAATTAGAGCATCCTTGTGACCAGCAGGGAGATGCATTTAGACTGTGCCTTCTCATCTTTCTTTTCTTTACTTTACAAGTAAATTAAAAAAAAAACATTATAGACAAAGTATTAATATGCTGTACTAGATTATGGAAACTAGATGATGTTAAGTTTTTTTATTTTTATTTAACCCACCTCATGGTAGGTAAATATTGTGACCCTTCTTAATAAAGGATAGTTGTAGATGTATACCATCTACAACTATCCTTTATTAAGAATCAATATACAGATCCGTTGTCACCTCTGAGAACTTAAATGGAACACCTCGTATTCGTAGCCATCAAAAGGGTCTCCGGTTCTCTAAGGTTTCTTTTTTCTAGTTTTTTTTTTCCGAATCAATGGTAAAGTAAAAAATGACTTTCATTAACAATTACACATGTGATCTATATTGAATAAAAATTATTCTATTCTATTCTATACTGCTATTTTACGCTGGTATACTGAAATAGCGTGGTACTCCCACGGTCGAGCCGATCCATTCGTGCTACAACCATAATATAGCTGCGGCGTGGCTGTACCGTACAACAATATTCATGGATTATTTATGTCGTTAATAATAAAATAACATTTTATTATTACTTTTATTATCATTCAACTTTGCGAACTATTGTGGGACTAGTTATTATTATTTTAAATACCACATTGTTCGAATTTATTACTAACTTTTTACGCTAACTCATAGAAATAAAGAGTAAAAAAAGTGAAAATTCAAAAACGCCGCGAAAGACCATTATGTATATGATATTATAAAGGATTATATAATACAATATCTTTGCGAAATACGGCAACAGCTGGTCCTTCTATAAACTGTAATGGGGGATCGATTAAAATTACCTGCTAATAGCAATTGCAAATCCAATTTTTCATGTACTCGACGGCACCGTGACGCAGTAGATTAGCATTGGGTTGCAGCGCTAAGGGCCGCAGGTTGGAATCCCGCACGGAACAAGTGTTTGTATTGCCTACAAATAATTGTTCCGGTTCTGAATGTTTGTTCTTGTGAAATTTATGTGTGTAAACTGTCCCCATGATACAGGAGGAAATCCTAGTGTGGAGGTAACGTTTAAAAAAACAAAAAAAAAACATTTATCTAATAAGAAAAAGGAAGGAGATAAAATAAATTACTATATTGTTTAATTCATCTGGAATTAGAGTTTGAACCCTTAACAATTGACTGCTTAGCTGAATGCTTCCATATTGCAAGCTATCCATAGATAAAATAAAAATAATTGAATATTCTAAATTGCATGATATCCATAGTCGAAATAAATATTGTATTTAAATTGAATGTAATATAATCTCAGGTAATGTTGATAAGTAATCAAAATATGTCATAAATATATCTTTATTTGATACCTATGTTGATAAAAGAATAACAAAACAATTGCAAAAAAACGTACATCAATCTATTGTAGGCATATAAATAGACTAGAAAAACGATAACATGTAAACAATGCTTCGTAAGAACACCTTTCGTTGTTTGTCGGATAATATCGACGGATATTAAAAAACAAACTTATATTTTATCTTATCTGCAATGCACGCCACTGTTTACTCACGACAGTTCGAGGCACGCGATCCCGTCATCTCTGTCGCACATCTGCCTTCTCTGTCGCATTTTGACAGATCGAAATACCACGTGACACGTCACAGTTTATCGCTTCCCGCCGCAATAACAATCGTGTCATGGAAAATTCCATTTTTCGTTTCACTGTACCTTGTCATGATCTATCAAACGCCACTATAAATCATGATTAAGGCTTTTACTTTACTTTTCATGTACTCGACGGCATTTTTTCGATTTGTTTTTATAGATTCATTTGGACACTGGTAACACCGGAGCAGCGGTATCGCTGAAAGACGTTGCCACACTGGCTGAATGCCGCTTTACTCTCGCTCGTTCGACTAAATTTTCAATTCAACAGGGCCTTTATAAGGGTAGTGTCGCCGTTCAAAATTTACATATCGACGCAATAAACCAAGCGGGCGTCTGTTTTGAATTCTGGCCGCATTGTGAATTACGATTCACATAAAGTTTTGTAATGGAGAAAACAAGATGATTCTAATGAACGATTCATGTTTAGTTGTGACACGAAATATGTTTGTCGAATAATATTGTTGAAATCATCACGTCATCACCGTCATCATCATTACAATCCTTTACAAGTAGAGTTATACGTAGAACCGCGCTGCAGCTATATTATGGTTGTAGCACGAATGAGTTCGCTCGACCTGGGAAGGAACACTCTTACAAAATACCAGCGTAAAATAGCAGCTTCATGCTGCTGTGGTTCGTGTGTAGAAAACTGGAGATACATTTTACTGGAAACGAAGCATTCCATTTTAGTCCTCAGGGGTGACAATAATCGAGGATAAATGTGTGTAGGACACACCATCCACTTCCCACCAGGTGGACTGTGAGCTCGTTTTTCAACCTTATTAACTTCCTTCTACGTAGCATTGAAAGGAAGTTAATGGTTTTAGCTGGCAGTCTGTTAGCCTGTATGCCGACACGATAACTTCCGTTCCACTGGACCGATTGACTTTAAATTTGGTATGTGGATACCTTGAGGTAGTAGCTCGGTCGAGTTTGAATTTGGGTCTTGTAGGTCAAAGGGCACCAGAGATATGGGATTCACGCAGAAGGAAGTTGTTTTTCTTGAATTTACATTCAACTCGTTCTATATAGATACGTAGCTAATCCTAGACCTCCGCCAAGTAATGCCACTAAACCTATCCTGAGCAACATCTACGCAAATACTAATACAATACCTACGAATAAACTGTATACTTAAGTATTTTTTTTCAAACGGATGACAGAGCAAAGGCAACTACGATGTAATCCTTTTTTAATGAATAATTAGATACGGGCATCGTTTACGCGCACCGTCAAGTCACCTGACGCCTGACGCCGCCTCACGCGTCAGTCATTTAGTCTTAATGAATGTTTCCACACTTGCCGGCTACTCTGAGAACCGATTACAAGGCAAAAAAGAAGCATTAGTTTACATGTATTAATTTCGCTACTTTGTATGCCGTAGGTGTTTCTGAAGAAATTGAATTAGTTTTCATGCAGTTCGTTCAGTTTTTAATATCCAATTAAAGATAGGAAGGTCGAACGATGCACATTTTAATTCAATAGTTAGCAAAGCAGTAAAAATATGGAGTAGAGGATGGCAAGTAAAAACTATAAATAAAATATTAAATGTTATCAGGTGTATGTACTCGTAATCATTTACTTGTCACTTTCTATAGTCATTTAAAAAAGACAGACAGAGAGAGGGAGAGAGAGAGAGAGAGAGGGAGGGAGAGAGAGAGGGAAAAAGAGAGAGAGAGTTAGAGAGAAAGAGAGAGCAACTTTGAAATTTTAGTTCATGTCGATTTTTTGGGGTTCCGTACCCGAAGTGTAACCAAAGGGACCCTATTACTAAGGCGCTGCGGTCCGTCCATCTGTCAGCAAGCTGTATCTCATGATCCAGAATAGGTAAACAGTTGAGATTTTCACAGAATGTGTATTTCTGTTGCGGTTTAACAAAAAAAAAATTAATAAAAATATATTAAAAATCAAACGGGCTCTCTTGCTAGAAACGTGTTTCATGCGCGAGTCCAACTCGCACTTGACCGGTTATTAATTATTATGAGTATATATGTATTTGATTACTATATTATAGGAGTTAATTGTATGATTGTGTGCAGTCTTCTTTGTTATCTACAATTACCATTTGCCGATTACCTCAAAATAATAGGAAGTGAAACATTCCCCTATGTGTCAGGATTTCAGAGAAACATTTAGTATTATATCTTCTCCATCAGTACGCAAGTCCATTGCTTGGACATTGGCCTCTTCTATTGTAGGAACAATTTGCCTTAACGGCAGATGAATTGGCGCAATACGAGACCTTTCGCACCTTGGACGCTGCTGCCCGCCGTAGGTTTTGGATTATCTGTCGCAAGCCATAAGATTCCTCTGACATTTCCCATGGTGCCTCTTATGATGTACAAGGTACGAAGTAGGGTGATGTATTTACTTGCTTAATAATGAAAGAGCCATGGTAGCTCAGCTAAGTGCTCGCTGTAAACTTCGCTGTACGCGAGCAACCTGGGTTCACCAATTGAATTGTTAATTGCAATTTTAAGTGCTGATTTACCACGTGCTCGGCTGTGAAGGAAAACATCGCGAGGAAACCTGCATGTCTAAGGAATAACAAAAAAAAATATTTCGAAGACATGTGAAGTTCGCCCACATGCACTGGGGCAGCGCAGCGGACATGTCCTTGACCTTAAACTCTCTCAGAAATGAGAGGAGGCTTATGCCCAGTATTGGGACGTAAATTGGCTGTAATTTTACTTTAACTCCTCAATAAAATAAAAACAAATAAATTATGCGCTTACACAATATATGTAGACTACACTATTAGTGTAATTGAATGTTACTTTAATTCTCGATGGTCAAGTGTTTGTTAATAAATAAAACATTTATGTAAATAAAAATCAAGCGTACTTGTGACTAGGTGAACGTTATGGATACTTGTAATCTGACATAAAGCAGGCAAGTGCGAGTCGTGCCATTTAAACCAACATTCCGTAGTTATTACTTATTTATTTATTTATATGTATGAAGCTCCAACAGTTGTACACATTAACTTACATCTAACACATGCCTTACATCTACAAATAACATGGGTGCGTACAGATCAAGTAACATGCTGTATAACATTTGTTTTGTAACACGTCCACATTATGTTTCATTGTTTTTCAACATTGAAACATATAACAATACTGTACACATTAGAATAACAATGCAATATAACAATTTTATATGACATTGTCATATGACATTGTCGTTTGTCGTTCTGACGTTCGAGTTATATAACACGTTTTATAACATTCAACCTCCACCTTACTGAAACATGTTATATAACAGCGTTTTATATGTTTTACATGTTATGTTATATAATGTGTACGCACCGTATCACATCATTCTATAACAATAACAGTGTTTCAAATTTGCCTATACGAGATTAATTAATTACATATTTATTCTCTATGGACGTCATTTTTTTGTCACACTACCATGGACGCGCGGTCTCTCGGGCGGCTATGTTATGGTGATATAACAGTGTTTCAAATTTGCCTATACGAGATAAATTTATTACATATTTATTCTTGTTTAAATATCCTTACACATTTTTATACGTAACAGAGCCATGCTCTAGTTATGTTATGGTTGTAGTACGAACAGATCGGCTCGAACGGGGAAGGACCAAGCTCTTACAGAATACCGGCGTAAAATAGCTACTTAATGCTGTTATATTTCGTATGTTTAGTGTAGAGAACTGGGGATAATTTTTACTAGAAACGAGGCATTCCATTTTAGTTCTCCCCTGAGACACCGCTTCAGCATTTTGATTCTTAATTGAGAATAGATGTAGATGTCTATGGGCTATAGCATTTCCACATCAGGTTTGTCTGTACTGTGAGCTCGTTTGTTACCCTTATTCTATAAGATAAATATTATTATAATGTATGTAAAATAGTTAGTGAATTCATTTGCCAACAATTAAAATCCTTCATCAACGCTTAGTTACAGCCACGATCTCGAGCCAAATGGGGTTGTATTTGCTGGAACTATGAAGTGACTCTTTTTTAAATATTTTTTATAAATAATTTAATATGATAATTTTAAAAAATTCTTACTCACAAGATATGTTAACTAGGTTGGAGATTAACATTTGAATTTCCAGGCCAAATTGGCATACCGTAAAATTATTAGGTTAGTGTCGCATCTATGCTAAGTTATTTTAAAAACATCTACTCTAATAAAAGTGTGATTACGACCTGTATTATATGTGATGTAAATTGCATCTTATAAACAGCTGACTAGAAGATTCCTATTAATTATCAGATAAGATACATAAGTAGAATGAATATATGAACAATATATATATGAAGACTTCTATATATATAAAGAATTTTTACACGTGTTAGAGTCATGTTGTAGCTACATTACTGGTATAGTTGTAGCACGAATGGGTCGGCTCGACCGGGGAAGGACCACGTTCTCACAGAATCATCATTATCATCATCATTACAGCCCTTGACAAGTCCACTGCTGAACATAGGCCTCCCCCAAGGAATGCCACAAAGCACGGTCCTGAGCCACCTGCATCCATCGACTTTCTGCATATCTTACCAGGTCATCACTCCATCTAGTGGGGGGTCGCCATACACTTCGCCTACCGGTACGAGGCTGCCACTCAAAAACTATATTCCCCATCAGAATATATAATATCTCACAGAATACCAGCGTTAAATAACAGCTTAACGCTGCTTTGTTTCATATGGTGAGTGTAGAGAACCGGAGACCCTTTTCACTTGAAACGAGGCATTCCATCTTACTCCTCACGGGTGACAATGCATGTGCGTTTTGTTTCGTAATCGTGAATAGATGTAGAACGTCTATGGACCACAATAACCACTTACCACCAGGTGGACTGTGTGTTCGTTTGTAACCCCAATCCTATAAAAAAAAATCCTATTTAAAATAAATGGCCTTAGCAGTCACGGATATTTGTAACTTACGGATC